TTTAGGCACATTCTCATCTACAGGCAGCCTTCTCATGTTGAATACTATGCCAGTTACAAAAAAGCTCATAACTTTCTCCAAATAATTCGCCGCAGCTAGGAAAAATATCGGAACAGCGTCTGAACTGATTCTAACCTTATATCTTCCTCTTAAAAGCCCCATCTGAGTTAGATGATTCCCCGTAAGTATAACAAGAGTTATCTCGTATGATGTCGCCATGTTAAGAGTTATGAAACAAGTTTCCTTTAAGCAGAAAACCTTTTCTTTCTCTAATAAAGGATGTATAATCTGCTAAGGCGAGAAGTACTGTTCAAATACGCCAACCTGCACATAGCATAATCACTCAATCACACTCTCATTTCTATTTTTCCAGGAACAGTTGTATAGTCTAGATAATGCACATGACCATAATATTAGAAATGAAATGCTCAAAGCTCCATATAAACAAACATTTTATTTCTAATCGATGCTTCAAAAGAAAACAGTGAGGAAGAAACAATAGAGGTTTGTTTACAAAACAAAAAAAAACATATCGGAGAACTAGAAAAAGCTTAAGTGCATTGACTAAAAATTCATGCGAATAGAGTTGTTGGCAAAATATACAATGCAATCTACGAAAGCACTGACCCAAATTTCACTATGCCACTATGAGTGTCCCTGATATCTGTACAAACGTGGCTAAATTTTTACTCTTCGTAAGGCATAACTAGATTTTTGGAAAAACTTCGGTGAATTCAGACGAGAAGAAAGATTTGACTACCCAAAGTTGTCGACATATACAAAATTTACATATGTGAAATGCGTAAAATGGAAATGAAAACGAAATGGAGGTGAAGCGATAAGAGCAACACGAGAGTATTGGAATAAACCACTGCTCCAAAATCAGATAGGCAAATGGAAGAGATAGAAAACCGAGAATTTCGAAGCACTGAGTGAACTACCGCGTTTACTGTCCAGTATGTACAGCATATCTACACAAAAATCCTACACATGACAACAAATGGCAGTGAGACTATGCCAAAGACTTCTGGAAAATGAGGATAAGAGAATGGCAGTTTTATTTCTTCGGAGAATAACGTGGGTGTCGCGGCAGTTCCGTCTCAGCCATGAGGCGGTAGCGAGCCGAATCGTAGCCTACGCGACCTTTCAGTTCCAGGTTTAGCGCATCTAGAGTGTTATTCTGCGAAAAAAGCATTCGAATATCCGTGTGGAGGTAGAGACGGCAACGGCGATCCGTGGCAAGTCTAAATTTCGGGACTAGAAATGTAAATAGTTAAACTATCTTAAATTGGGGGTACAGAATTTTTCGGTAGGAAAATCTGGAGGAAAAAACCCACACTCACTTGCACTGCTGACTCACAATTTTATGGAAGAATATCGAAACTCCAATAGGCGTATGATTTTCAAACTTGCCGAAAATGAATGAGATTGATGAGATGCTTGTCGGTTTTTCCTTCTTCATCACCACTCCCAAGGAAAATCCTCTGCCTTATGAATGTCTGTGATGATGGTGGCATATCCGTCATGTCATAAGCAACGACAAACACTTTCACCACTGTCTCTTGGGGGTTGAATAGAGTCTAAAATAAGGAAAATCATAACACAGACAAGCAAAAAATTAAGACCACACCGCTTGGATGGTTCCTTGTTTCGGTATGCGATAACCACGTCTACCAAGGGAATCCAATGAGCATACACCCTAAATGAGCAGCTTCTAGACAATTATCGTTGGACATACCTAGCACGTTTCGGACCGATTTGCTTTTGTAATTGGAAACCAAGCTGACAAGTTGTAAGATAACAATACGACCGGTTATGGTACATGGGTTACACTAAATATTGAATCCCCTATACCTAAACCGTACAAGATCCTCTAGAGAAATGGGCATAACATTAGTTTTCAGTACGAACATTATCCCTGGTAAACTTATTAGTGGTACTGAACCCCTGATAAACTTATTAGTGGTACTACCTCCTGAGCAGAGACCCAGCTAATACCTATATCGAAATCAATTTGAGCACATGATAGATAAAATGCTTGA